TACATTCATCTTTGTAAATCGCAGTGAAATATATAAATTCCGAGAACTTTTAAAACCAAATAAAATAGGTCATAATTATGAAATTTTCTGTTTTGATTACTTAACGGAAGCTAAATACCAGTTCATTTCATGTATGTATGTAGTCATATAAAGAAAAATACTAGACCAGAATTTATAGATGCTTTAAAAATTTATAGTCAAGTAATGAGTACTGATAATTACATATATTATTACAAATCCTTAGGTCTTAAATGTCTTCATTCTGTACCAGAAAATCATTGTAATTGTTATTCAAAAATAATAATCTTAATGTTTATTTAATGCTTAACTTACTATAAATTAACTCACACCCCACCCCATTTCGTTTAATTATTTTTGACCGGTACTTGCTCCTAGTATATTTATGTGATTATTTACTTTGAGCTTTTTATAAACTTTTGAAAGACCGTAGATATTAAAGTACTGAAAGTACAATTATTTTAACATGTAAAAACACAATATTAGGACGAAAAATCTATATGTATTTCTCATTACCTGCTAGGAGTCTAGGACTAGGTAACTTCTTCAGAAAATATTAGGAGTTGAATCATAAACTTCTTACGTGATATGAAATTAATACTGTTCAGAGAGCCACTTTAATTATTATCCTTACGAGGATTATATAAAGTATTTGTTATTTATTAAAAAAACAATTCTCGGATACGTTAAGAAATACTACGTACATTTTTGTTTTACTCAAACGCTTAAGCAATATTACAAAAACCTATTCCCTTTGAAACAAGTTCGACACTTATTTTCATTGTTTTATTCAAAATATTTTTTTAAGTATCTGAATTTCGATCAAGTAATATAAAAAAAACGTTAAATGTTAACTAGCTTCCCGTCCTTGATTTATTTTAGTCACAGTTTAAAGTTATAAGTAACGTGTAACATAAATCGCTTTTCGTTCACTCCGCAGTCAAAGCGATGTAACGAGACTTGAAATAAAACGATCATATTAAATTGCCCGGGAGCTCTCGGCTGATTGACCCCGTGTTGAGGATTATTGAAACCCCCACACTATAAACTTCCCTCGTCTTTATACTCATCGTTACACACTACATCAGTTATTCAAGCGAAGTTCCTACATTAATATTATTTCAACTAAATTGGTCCATTAAAAAATATCTGGTTTTTAACATCAAGTACTAGATCAAAAAAATATGTTTCTTAATTCAAAATTTTTGAACACAAACATTATGTTCCGATCAGTTATGAATAAAGACGATGATGAAGTCAATTTCTTGTCTAGCTTACAAAATATTTAAGTCTCATCGTGAATTAGATTGAGATAATTTTTAATTTTGATTCTTATTTAAATGTAAATATGTCTTAAATTACAATAGCATCGGGTTTATAAAGCCTTACTTCGTAGAGCAGATGGCTAAAACGTACGCACAGTTTATAAAGTACGTAAAAGGAAGTGGATATTATATTGAAACTAAGTAATAGCATTTTAAAGGTTAGAACAATTTACCTGTTCAAATTTTTTATATATACAGAACGGCTTATAAATTATGTTTTCAGTAATATGTTTATATGATCTATCCGTTTATTACTCAGTGTAATTAATTGCTTCTTTTTCTTCCAAATTCTAGTAGCATGTCGAGTTTTATTCTAATATGACACATGTTAATATAGTAAAACTTAAAATAAAAAAAGAATCAACAACAATAAATTCTGTAAAACGTCTCACAAAGAAAAAGCCAGTGACTACTAACTCCATATTATCTTGTTATCATCATATATTTTTAGCCGCGGCCAAGATTTTTTTTCTCGTTAAATATTTTACAGTTACATGTTAAACATATAGCAGAGATACTCAAACAATAGTTTCTAAAGGATTCGTAAAATAGTAGTCAGGCTTTGCCCAAAGCCCAAAGTAATTTAATATTCATTTTCTAAATATTATTAGTATTCATTAGTAGCAGTTTGATGTTTGTCTCCATAGTATAAAAGATACTATAGTATTTAAAAAAGAAATAACGAGATATATGACACAAACGATGATATAATGCAAAAATAATTGAATGGAATATATACGCCTACGATTGAATTTAAATGTAGAAAAAGTAAATGTAACTTGCAATATATGTATGTGTGAGTCAGTGGCGTGCACAGAGATTTGGGGTACCTAGGCTAAGCAGAATATGTTATAAAAATATAATACAAAATTTCATCATTTCCACCTCTAAAACATTGAAATAATGAGATCTTTCGCAAGTATTGATTTAAATTTTAAATGAAATTAATATTTTTACTATTTTTAACGGGCAGAAGACATGTCTGCCGTGATCACGGTTGCTGCAAAGTAATCGAAACGTCGGCAGCATGTAGTTTTTAAACATACGTGAAGAAATCAGAAAATATTAATTTCATTTAAACATTGATAATAATAATATTCGCGCATAAGAGACAAAACCTCTTAGCATTCAATGGATTCACCGTGCGGGTGCCGGTCCATCGTGTTGCAGGGAGAGGAGCTTCAACAGTGCCTGGGACTTACGACCCAGGTGTAGGTTTAAGGGGCCCCTTAACTGACGCGCGTTATACGCTCACCTCCACTGTCCAAGCTCCTCTCTCTACCTAACCAAATTTGAAAGGACCTACTAGGGCTGCCTTCGACGTACGTCCCAAGAATGAATTAATGTTAGTTCTGGACAGGCCCAAGTCTTTTAGTAGGTTATAGAGAGATTTAGCTGTTATACCTCTCGCTACCACCTCTACCGCGTATAAATCAACGACGAACCTATTTCGAGTTAGTTCGTTAGTGAGCTCGTAATACTTATTGAACTTGATGGCATGGCCTTTGGAGATATTGGTTTCCCAAAGCACCGTAAGCTCTATTACCACAACGCGCTTTAAAATACGCTAATATAGAAATATGTCTGGTCTGGAGGCCGACGCACAAATATCCTCGGGGATTTTGTAAAGCTTTTTACATATTTTGTTAAGGTTTTGTGCTGATTTGTTTTCAGTAATATGTGTATTACATTACATTGTGTATTACATTAACGATATTTGTTGAAGATGTCGGAAAAAAATAAGTCGTCTGGTATCTTTTAACGAAAACGCTGCCAAAACCCTTTGAGATATAACAAAACAATTTATGGTGGAATTATGTATCTAATATAGATCTACAAAAAAGTCCAGAATGGCATATGTCTATCTCTATACATACCATTTCCATTTTTCTACTTTTAAAAATTTATGAAGGGTTTATAGGAAAAATATTCCCATAATTACAGTATTAAATCTTATTTACAAAATAAATTACTTCGTGTTCAAGCCTACATCAGTAACAGTAAATTACTTTTTGAATTATTTAATTCGGACTAGCATTTGAAAGTTATCATAAGTTTAATAATTCTCAAAATTAAATCCAGCTCACTTTTTCAGATGATCACGTCATTAATGTTGTACACAAAATTTTTGTATTTTTACTATATTAAAAAAACTATTACTAACATAAAAATATACAGTTTTTCTAAGTTTAAACTTATTTTATGTTTAACGAAGAAAGATGATGAAATTTTTGTTCGTCTTGATTTTACTCATAAAGGAAGTACTCAAAGCTTTATACGTAACATAGGCTATTTTATATTTTTTGTAAAGTACCTACTCTTACGAAGCTGGGGTGGGTACCAGTCAAGTTAATGTCATTAATTTGTTGTTGAGTGGAGAGTTGTCAAGTTGAAACCATATTTTAGTACATTGAAGGTTATTAAATGCAAACTTTTCTTAAAAAAAGCAGACTGACTGATAGCTCAGATGGTTAGCTAGAGCCTAGAGTATGGGCTCTGATCGCTTAGGTCATAGGTTCAAACCCCGACGGGTGTCTGTAGATTTTTTTAATTTCTCATGAATTGTTTAGACATTTATTAATTTGGTTGGAATCATAAGGAAAATACTTTGAAATATTTAATAACCACTATAAAATACAAGAACTCTATTATTTTTCTTTTATACATCACTTTGAATTTACTTGCAATACTATCGAATAATTCCTGATAATCGGTAGTTAAGAATGTCGATACTATCGACGGCCTATTGATAGATAACACTATAATGAATCAAATGTATTTTAAGTGTCTGTTAGCAATTGTATTTCGTAATGTATGATTAAAAGTATATGAAGGTAAGAATTAAACAATATAGGTTTAGTTGTTATATGGGTAGGGTATGCAGTGCTTATTTGCATCTATGGTGTGCACGCCACTGGTATGACTAACTATTTGTTACTGCATAACAGTAATTCCTAAAACAATATAATAATGATGAACGCTGTTTAAGCTGGATCCGTCCTTCTTTTTTTTGCTTTTCTTCATCTCTTATAATTATTTCTTGCAGCTGACTCTATTTTGTCAGAAGAGACTCCTTAGTTCACTTTGAAAAGAAGCGTTCCTCTGTGCCAGAAAAATATGAGGAATCTTTAAACTATAAATTTGATTGATTATATAATGTATTTTGTAAGTTACAAATGCATTAACTTTCTATCAAAAGAGAACAGAAAGTTTTAAAGTCAATGTATATGGCCAAATGTAGAAAGCAATAATCCTTGTGAATGTTGGAGGACACAACTATCATTTATATATTTTTTTCTATGTGTTTCTCGGGATCTATTCGTAAATACATTTTTAATATACTTTGATGGACACGATACTACATATATAACTAAATATTCTGCAAAAGATATCTGCTAGAATCTAAGACTTAACTTGTGATGTAGTGTATTATCTATGCGTGTGATTGTAGACAAATGTCAAAATTAAGTGTCAACAGTTTTTGCGCCAATTTCGGGCTTTATATATTGTGAACATGAAATAACTTATATATTTGAACTAAAATTAATTAATGTTAATATCAAATATGATTCGTATTTATCCATTATCCAATTCTGCGTATCAAATTTCATTAAAAAAATAAAAATTACTTCGTCACTGAATTATTCCAAATTCAAAATGTCTAATATAAGAACGATTGCCAGTGCCGCTCGCTCTATGAACACACGGCCAACCCGACCCTTTAGGGTATCGATCGAAGGAAATATAGGTTCTGGAAAATCGACCTGCATTAAATACTTCGACAAATATCCTAACATTGACAAACATGCGGTAATCATCTGTTGATTTTGAGTTAGTTTTATATTATCAGGAAACTGTTGTTTTTTTTTAATACACATGTGAATATGCCGTAATAATTATTATAATATTTAGTACCATCGAATAAATAAGATGAATTTGTCTTTTATAGGAGCCCATAGCTGAATGGCGCAACGTTAGTGGTCATAACCTACTTGGTCTGCTGTACAGTGATCTCAATGAGTGGAGCTTTGCTTTTCAACATTATGTGCACCTTAGCCGCCTCAAAATACAAACCAGTCCACCGTCCAATCCAAACATTACTGTTAAAATGTTTGAAAGGTAATTAAGCTTATTGGAAGATAAATAGAAAAATTAAACACAAAATATAATAAATACTAAGGGTTCTTAAGTTCAAGTGAATAAGTTCTATAGATAATTAATACAATCTTATTCTGATTTACTTCTCTTAATATATTAATATATGTTAAATAATACTAATAATTATATGTACTTGTTTAATGGAGACACTAACATATATTATTAAGTTATGATTTAAACTAAAAAGACATTTTTACAGGTCGGTACAAAACAGCAGGTTCTGTTTTGTAGAGAATGCTAAAAAACAAAACTTCCTCAAAGACCCAGAATATGAGGTACTATTAAAATGGTTTGATTACACCGAGCAGAATTTGGATATTAGTTTAGATCTTATAGGTAATGCTATTTAAATGAAACTATTATTTTTGAATTATTACTATTATTTTAAGAACTGCATACTCCCAATGTTTTGGTTACTTTGCAGCAATCATGACCAAAGGTAGACGAGATTATATAAAAATAATAAAATAACAGGTAGTAGTTCAATAATTTTAGTTTCATTTAAATGAATACTGGCAAATGTCTTAAATCTCTTTAAATAAGAACTTATACTATAGTGAAATTCATGATTTATAAGTCTATATTTAACTTGCAGTTTACTTAAGGACGACTCCACAAACAGTATGGGAAAGAATGATGAAACGGGGACGTGCTGAAGAGGCTGAAGTGCCTTTAGACTACTTAGAACAAGTATAGTATATTTACATATATTATAAACTAGCTGCGCCCCGCGGTGTTACCCATGGATTTCCGGGATGTAAAGTAGTCTATGTACTATTCTTGGATGTCAGCTTCCTGTATACAAAATTTTATCAAAATCCGTTCAGCCATTTGAGTGTGAAGAAGAAACAAACATACACACACACTCACAAACTTTCGCAATTATAATATTAGTAAGATAAATGTTTACTTCAACTTATTAACTATTGTAGAAGTTGTGGTGACATAGAAGTGAAAAACCTGCCTCTTATGCATGAGGGTGCGGGTTCAAACCCGGCAAGTACCAATGTGATCTTTCCGAGTCATATGTACTATGAAAGAGTATTTTGACACCACTGACCAATGAAGGAAAACATCCAGAGGATATGTGGACTTACAATTGTAAATTATAAGTTTGAAATCGCCAACCCGCCTTGAGCAAGCATGGTGATTAATACTCAAACCTTCTCCATGTGAGTAGAGGCCTTTGCTCAGCAGTGGCCACTGATAGGATGATGATGATGATAATTAACTATCCTTTAATTTAAATACAAGTTTTCACTAAATCATATGTTAAACTCAGACTTCTTTTCATAATTTGAACATAATTCAAGCTGTTATATTAAACCTCAATATGACAGCTAAGTTTATTTCTGCAGATACTTTCCAATAAATTCCATATATCTACAATGTTTTCTGACCTATAAATAATGTATTTATCCCAAGGTTCATGAATCATATGAGAACTGGCTGAACTCTCCCGACGTAGGCTGTGAGGTGCTCACGATTGACGCAGACCGTAACATTGAAGAGGTCAAGAAAGATTTGGACCGTTACAGCTATAAAATACTCGGTGGGAATCATACTAGCTGAACTATTAGTTAATAATATTGTTTCCTATTAAGTATTAAATAATTTTATTAAATTTAGTTACTTAATAATAGTATGTTTTTAAATATTGCTTAAAATTTTATATAGATATTAATTAATTTTGTAGCGTCTTAATGATGATTGATATGAATAATATATGTTATATAGTGTAAGGATTTGTACTGGAATATAATAAAATCATCTCCAAAGATATCCTATCTAGGATCTAGACAGGCAATAATTACATTTAATTCTGTTTAATAACTCATATTACAGTTGTGTTTATAAGATGTTAGTTTTGTATCATTTATTTAAATATTTGTATAAGATAAATGAAAAATCTAGCATTATTTTGACATATATATGTAACAAAATCAAATAACATTAAGTTTCTTTATATATATAAGTTTATGTGTGACTAAAAAATCTATAATAAACAATCATATATATGCATATTCTTCTAATAAACTACATTTTAATATAGAGACTGCAATAAAGAATAACAAATACTACGCACCTATTTATTTCTCACTTAATATGAATTCAATACATTTATCTCGCCTGATTTTTAAATGAAGCAAAAACAAATGTAACATTAACATTTTATTTAGGATAAATAACTAATCCTATTGTACTATATAAACATTTCTAACGGTAGAGGTGATCGGCTCTGATGTTAGTAGCAATCTCACTCTCCCATTTGTCACCGTTCGAGAGTAACTTCTCTTTATTGTAAAGAAGTTCTTCGTGAGTTTCGGTCGAGAATTCAAAGTTAGGTCCTTCTACGATCGCATCCACTGGACAAGCCTCCTATAAATAAATTAAAGAAATGTATTTTATTTTACCTATGGAAATTGACTTTATTATAGTTTTATGAAAATTATATCGTCCTCGCACAATGCAATTAACTTGGTAAGGTATGTGAACAGAGAATAGGAGGGATAAACAAATGTCACTCTAACGTACTCTCATAAATCATTTCATTATGTTAATTTTAAAAAATAAAGAAAAGTTAATTTATAATTTACTCATTTTTTATGTAAAGGCGACCAGAATATTACCATCTAAAAAGTCATACTGAAAAATTTTGTCCTTTCAATCACTTTGTTGTTAAGTTGTATTTATTTTTATTCAACAATTTAACAATTACATTGATAAATATAATTTCTAACTTGGTTATTTAGTGATTTGTGTTCAAATATGTAACTCATGTGCGTCTAGTCACTGACGAGTGAAAGTGGCGGGAAATGACTAGTATAGTAGTCAATAGTTTAAACTAGAAGTCAAGACTAAAGTTACGATCATAGATATTCCAAGCAGTCTTACCTGACAGAATCCACAGTAAATACATTTTGTCATATCAATATCGTATCTAGTTGTTCTACGTGAGCCATCTTTACGCTCCTCAGCTTCAATTGTGATTGCCTGAAATTAATTAAATAATATTACCAAAGATATCAAAAAAATTGCAAAAATATACTGAATTCTATACGTGAATTTAGGAAATTTCAATTTAACCTTTATAAACCAGAAAATAATTTAAAAATGTCCGCGTTCAAAAAAGGTAATGACCTTCAATGAAAGAGGGTGATTATGCAGATGTAAAAAATATATAAAATTTAAATAATCAAAAATGTATTTAAATTGATAAAAAACTATACTTTTAAGAAACATTCAGTCCTCATACTTACTGTATGTTAAATTCTCGAAATAAGCATCGTAAATCAAAAGTCAAAGTCGAGAGTTATTTTTTATATATTTTCCACACAGGCACAAAATTAAAAAAAATATATATTTATAGCAAAGAAAAAATTATTTATGTACTCATTGAACTCTTAGTTACTATTAGTATTTGTGTCTTATTAATTTTATTATGAAATGTGTGTAATGGTGAAACCTTAAAATGTAATCAAAATATGTAATGAGAAATAATAAATTTAACTTTATATAAAGTTTTAGGTATATGTAAATCGAAATGACAGGATTCTAGGACTGCCTGTAAGTATTTCTGTATTTTAAAAATGTTTTTTTTTTAATCTATTGTAGATAGTATTGTGTTCACAGTATTGTGCCAATTTTAAAGATATTATGATTATAAACATATATGTTTATAATTTTTGAATTCATAATTTTTTAGTCGTAAATAAATATAGTATTGTGATACCTGAGCTGGGCATATAGCTTCACACAGCTTGCAAGCAATGCATCTCTCCTCACCAGATGGATATCTCCTCAATGCATGCTCACCTCTGAACCTTGGAGACAAAGGACCCTTTTCAAAAGGATAGTTGATTGTTGCAGGTTCCTGGAAAATATTTTACAAATTATTGCTAAAAATACCCATGATTAAGTAAAACATAACAAAAATTCTTGTATTTAAAGGGCTATGTGATGTTTTTTATTTATAAAATGACTGTTCAGTAAAGTGTAATGGTGTAAAACCAAAAGTTAAATAATTTAATTGGTTTTTGTGTTACAAGCTAATAATTTATACAAAAAATTTAACCAAAATATATGATTTGATTAAAAAATCATTAGATAAGTTAAGAGTATATCTTAAAATAAAAATCAAGCTAGATATACTTGTGATATAAATATTATGAAGTTAACAAATAAAAAGATGTACAGTGATCAAAAACCAATTTATTTGATTAACTTAAAACCTTTTAACAATGAAAACTTTTCACTAGCGGAGTCAAAACCCTGAATCACTTATAACTTCTATATTAATTATCTTCTGTACCTTAAATACGTGTGCAAGTGTTACGGCGAAACCTCTTGCCAATTCAGTCCAAAACAAAGTTTGAGCAGCTCTGTTTGACATTTCCCGGAAACTCATGTCCTGTTCTTCAGCGTTTACATATTTATATCCAGGTACATTTGGTGGATATACCTTTTCCACTTTACCTTCTTGACCTGAACTGGCGTAACGTACTAAAACATTGCTAGCTCCACTAGCTCTTACTGAAATGGAAATGTTTTATACAAGTAAATAATTATGCGGTTAATATTTAGGTAATATAAAACAGTAATTAAAATCAATAGAAAGAGTATTTATGAGTAACAAATTTTGTTTATAATAAAATAAAAATAGGTTATATTTAGTTGCGTAACTTAAAGATTAAATGCTGATGATATACGATACCAATATAATTTATTTTTACAACGGAAATTATTATTTTTACCTCGAGAAGACACTGAAAATATTTTCGCTAAAGACATTTTTGCCTTTTTAAAACTGCGATTTATTTGTTACGATTTTCCTTTCAGTCAAAATTTGTGTCAACTGTCAAAACTAAAATTACAATTAAAGACAGCGATCTTGTCTTAAGAACTTATTTATTGAAGATCGTGTATTTGTATTGTAAATATTTTTATGGCTATCGATTTTTAAATAAATTTATTTAAAAAATTTATAAGATTTACGTAACGTAACGAAATATACAGTTTAATAACCTTTATGCTGTATTACATTACGACAAGGAATTTATTTAATTTTTTACTTAAAACACAAATATATTTGTGTTATTGTTTGTACAATTTAGTTATTATTTCTTAATAAATATTTGAGGTTAATTTTTAAAGTGTAAATATTTGAGTACGAGGATTTCTTACAAACCACGAATACAGAAGCGGTCTGTACATCGCTGTCATAACGTCAAAACTCAAAACATTGGAGTGACGTTTACAAATTTTGTCGGTGAAATATAAATTTCGCGAAAAAATTCGCCACGCAGTATGGGAGATGCCCCGACTTCCGATATGGACTCTAATAAAGTTATTCTTGGAAGCGAAAATCCATCCGATGTGGTAAAATCATAATTATTCAGTATAAAACCTCATTTCATCGTTATCGATGTTCATACTATTTTATGGCTTTAATAGGACCGGCGACCGTTTGGAGGTCTGGAATTCCAAGTTTCCGAGGTAGTAGAGAGGTTGGAGGCTGGTGTGAATGCCCAAGATGCCACGGAAGAAGAAAAAAAGCCGGAAGAACGGAAAATAAGCACGGGGTTCTTCGAGCCAGAAAAAATGGATATGGATGAAATTTTGAAGGTCCTAGAACAACTAGTACTTAAAACGGACCCAAGTTGTGAAAGCATGGAACCACCTTTATTGCCCACGGATTCTGTGACGCGAGCCGCAATACTATCTCATAGTATTTCGGCATTATTCTCGAGGTTGGAGAGGAGCCACGCTGCCCGGCTTGGAACGCACATAGCTACTGAAACCACGCGATGGATGGCGCATTTATTTAGGTATTGTATTTACTGAAATATTTTCATATAAGTATAATTGTTTTTAGTGTTATACTTAATCTACTCATATATTATTAAGCTTGCTTATCATTGCTAACTCTTATTAATCTAACAATTCTATAATGAAACATAATCAACATCTCGTGACCTCTTTTCATCTTGCATTCAAATATAAATTAAAAAGTCTATAAAAACTGTAATTTTATAATTAAGGCTTCTGAATAAATAATAAAAAAGTTGTTTCAATGTCTTGTGTAACCAACGCTATAGAGTAATTATTTTTAGTAATAAATATCTATATCTATATTAAATAAATTTCACACAATTGATAAAAAATATTAAGTTTTCTTCTTGAAGCAGTATTCTTCAGATATAATAATGTTTATAGTACCAAATATTATTAGTGGAAAATTTTTATATTTGTGCCAAATAAATTCATTTCCCATTATAGTCATAATTATAAAGGTAAAAATTTCCCAAAAATTTATACAACTAATGTTTATGGGTCACATTTTTTTACTTTACACAAACAACACATTTTTTATGTATAAAGACATAATGTTCACATTGTGAACTTAAAAAAAACCATCTTTTATAAGTATTATTATTTGAACTAGCGACTCAAATTTTCACATTGGCAATATCTTTTTAGTCATGAGAGAACATTTAATATAAATATCAGTAAAAATAACACTTGCACTTATTAAAAACAGTTCATATGTGCATTTATTTGTCCAAAATTTAAACTATGTTAAATAAAACAATTGAAATATATAAAATTCATTAATATTTATTAAAAAGTTAACATTTCTTATATGTTACATTCATATAGCCTTACAGATAGTAGTTAATGGTTGTACAATGTAATGTGCAATTTATAATAATGTTTTTGATGTTATCTGAAACAGCTAACAGCCATAATCTTATCCAATTTTAATTGAAACTCAAGGTGATTGATAACAAACTTCAATATTATACACATCACCATACTTTACACTATCTTTTATTATATTGGATTTTATATATTAGAGAATTTTTATATATATAATATATATTTTTTAAATGTAACCAAGTAAAACAGGGTTAAAAATATGTTATCTACCTGTCTTTTATATCTTCTTGTTCTTCCTAGCAATTTCCCAGCTTTAGCCAGGGTCTGCCTTAAGATAGTTTCGGCTAATTGTTTTTTTTTTTACGACTGGCCAACCTACCTACCTGTCTTTTATATGTCCTTTTAACTTTCTTTGGACAAAATATATGTATAGCTTTTGTTTAATTCCTAATAAATCAACATATTTTATTCAAAATATAGAGTTCCATTTGGAATAAAAATTAAAAAGACTCTTGCAAATGAAGTGTACAAGAAGAGTAGAAGATAGAGTATAGACTGAAATTCTTTGATCTGTTCCAATACTTTGTGAAGGCCTTGCTTTCATGACGAAATTATCGCTAATTTAAAACAGATTTAAAAATTGTCCTTTTAATTAATTAATTGCAAGAGCATATGTGTAACACATGTTCTTGTTTGACCAAGTTACTGTATGGAGTATGCTCATTATGACTTTAAATATTGGACATTTCAAAGTTTTATGATATATCATCAGCGATCCGAATTAATATAATCATTCATAAAAAATATACATATATAGTTTAGTGTTTATTTTGGTCATGGAAATAGTAATGAGCCGTATTCTATGTATGTGACCTTTTGTTGTGAAAATAATTCGTTTTTAATTATGGTTTGTTTACTTTTCTATATTCCGATTATTGTTAAGTACCGATTTTTAATTATAATGTTTTAAATATTAATTATTCTTTATAATATACATATATGTATTAACAATAGTTACGTCAGTATAAGGATTAAGTGTATTTGTCTGCACGTATAAAATTACTTTGTGGGTTTGCGCGTAACACGACGCAAATAAAAAATAATAATACTTAATTTAATTTTAATTAAACAAAAAAGATAAACTGAATTTTAATGACACTTGGCCTTTTATATAAAAAATATTGCGATGTCTCCATTAATTAAAATTAAATGAAGTTTTAATACACAGTCGTTTTAATGAACGCTTGTTTTGTGATGTGTTTTATCTAGCAATTAGAAAAAAACTGTTAATAGATAAATTAAACATGACGGAAACGCGACCAGTTGATCGGGTTGTTAAAAAATTTTTTGTTTTGAACAATATTGTATGTTATGATTTTTAACATTATATTCGTTTACAATAAAAAAATTACTAAATCAATGTATAATAGAAGTTCAATAGACTTTCAAAAACTATCACCATTAGTTACAAGCTGAAATTAATAAAATTTACATAGATTTTGTAAATTAAATTTCATTCTCATCAAATTCTGTTGGAACGGATCAGATTCATTAGTACGATAAGACGAATAAATATAAATATACATGTAAATATGCTTTATAAATTTCATATTTTCTTTTCATATGATTAAATAACTTGGTACAATGTAACAGGTTGTCTGATTACAACGCGTATTATCACCAAGAGCAGCTCGAGGGTCTGGTGAGAGTCACTCGGATGCTGCTACACCACAAGTACCCCAGATATCTAGAGGATGGAGGTAAATATACAAGAAATTTATTAAGGAAAAATACCTACTATTTCGTTACTGTAAAGAACAGGAAGATTATGAATAATTTGTTATTATTTAGGCGAAAAAAAAACAATGTGCTAACTGTATTGTACTTCATGTTATCGAATATATTGTTATAAATAATACGTCAAGGTTCGATCTAATACAAAAATATAACAGTACTATCCTGCAGTGTATTCTAATTAGTGTTGCTTGAATGCAAGAACAAGACGAGACTTGGCCAGTCTTGGTTTTGCATCAATACAGGTGATGTTTGGTATTGCACTCCTAGTCTTGGTCTTGCTAAATGCAAGAACAAGACCAAGACCGATTTTGGGCAACATTAATTCTAACGTCAGTGGTTGCTAAATGTTTATCATTATACATATCTCATAAACAACAATATCCGTTCCCAGTATCTGATTTAAGAATGTGTAAAACGTAAGCAAAATTATCACATAAAATCCGAAGTATGTGCTAGTAATAAAACTATGAAAAACTATCATAAAACTGTACTGTATTCGTACACAGTAAATCTTATATTATTTTGTTCACGTAGTTATTATTACATCGTTATTAAACAGTATTATATGAATAGATATAGTTTTTTAAACACAGCTGGTTTATTAGCCGTAGTTACGAAGTTCGTTGAATTTAATTAATAAAATAGTTGGCCTACTTTATATATGATAATAGCAGTAGAGTATCGGTATTATTCGTATTTTCACTCACACTACGATTTTTGCATCCAACCAAGTTGCTCTGTCTCTCTCTTTCTATAACTGTCCCTCTCTCTCTTTTTCAGTTAATTAAGTCTAATTAATAATTATACAGTTTTTGTATATCGATAACCATAATGTTAGACAGGAAGGTTATTTAACAACACACTACAAATCTATAACGTGTGGTTTTCATTAGTACACTTTATACGCATAGAATATTCTGCTACTGAATCTGATATCAATGTATGTACTCGTACTTAATATATTAGAATAAATAATATCGTAGAAGTCTAGAATCTACGTATTTCTCTCTACTTTTCCCGCCATTTTTTTACACAGATTATATTACTTATGACATCTAATAAATGTCATAGTTTATTAACTGTTACCTTTAATTTTAAAAAGTAACTATTTACGTATAAAAAAATGTAAATACTTAAATGGCTTCTATATCTAAACGTAATTTGTTGTGTCACCCAGCGAATCTAATTCGCATTTTATATCACAATAGTTTTACGCAATTCATCAAAACTTAGAAACAATCTCATTGTTTATTGTACAAATAAATTCTATACTGATAATTGCATTGCTCGAAGGAGCAACTAAACAACACTTATATTGTTATTTGTAACTTGTGTTATTTGCTATTGACAATATACCAAACGATGACGTCATGACGACGAAATGATGACGTTTTCAGCTCAAGCCTTTTCGAATCCAATTCATGAATGAGCAAATTATAACCACTTATATAACTTGTGTTATTTGCTATAGCCAATAATGCATATGATGACGTCATTTTCCAGCACTAGCCTTCTCGAACCGCCTACCCTCCATCTACAGCTGTGTAGCGAGTCCGCTAGGCGTTGTCCAACACTTGTGCCGACAGCTGGGTCTGCCTCTCGCCTGCGTTAGACCCGTACCAGTTGATTCATCAGGTATTATTAACACATACTAATATATAACTTAGAAAGTAAAATAGAATAGAATTTTTTTGTGAACTTGGTCCATGGCATACCATAAATTAATGATATTCGGATATTGATTATATTTTATCAAATATGTTTGTTCACGATATTTATATTCGAACTAGCTTTCCACCTGCAGCTTCGCCCGCGTGGAGTTCGGTTATATCGCGTTTCCAAGAAAACCTTTCAAAAGTCTGGGATAAAAACTATCCTGTGTTCTTTCTAAAGGTCAACTCTATGTCTGTACCAAATTTCATTAAAATCAGTTCTGTGGCTTAGGCGTGAAAGCGTAACAGACAGACATACAGAGTTACTTTCGCATTTATAATATTAGTAGGTAACAGATTCTTCTCACCTTAGCTTTAATTAAATATCTAAAGTTCGAAATCAAATCTAACATCACTATAAACGTAAATATGACCTTTCTAATATGTTTTATTATCACCAGGTAAGGGTATGGATCTAAATGCTCTCGATCGTCTCTGTGAGGAGGACGCGGCCGCTCGTACTCCTCTCCTAGTGCTAGGCGAGGCGGGCGGACCTCCCCTCGGCGGGGGTTCCCCGCTGAGAGCGCTGGCTGAACTCTGTGGACGTAGAGGGGTGCACTTACATGTGAGGGGACACGCCCTCGCACTACCCGCCGCTGGGGGATTTGAACAGGTATGGACATACTATTAAGAAAAGTTTACATATATAAAAAGCTTAAGACGTACTTATAATATAAAAGTCAAAAAAATGTTTGTTATCCCTGTCTTATCTCATATAAGAAGAAGCTAAACTTGTATTTATAGTATAAAAGATAAAAAAATGTTTGTTACCCCTATGTAATCTCATACATAAGAAGAATCTAAACTCGTATTTATATTATAAATTTAATTTTAAAAAATGTTTATTGCCCCTGTGTAATCTCTTATATAAGAAGAAGCTCAAGTCGTACTTATAGTGTGAGTATATAGTGTGTGTGAATAAGCCGAAAAAATGTTTGTTACCCCTGTTTAATCTCATATATAAAAAGCTTAAGCCATACTTACAGTCAGAATTTTATAACTCTAAAAAACGTTTGCCAACCCTGTGTAAGGTTTCACAAAATACATTAAGCATTGATAAGACTTCAGATATCCATGAGATATATGAGTGATGTAGTTTTTATAAATGTATTGTAATTGTTTCAGACTTACAGTATAGCTGACTCACTGACACTTCAACCGGGTCCTTGGTTCGGAATACCGGGATTGCCTACTGTTGTATCCTTATCAAATATATAAATTTACTTATATTTATATTATACTCATCATAAATATTTTGTCAATAATATTTCTTTAACATTAAATATCAGACATTTTACAAAATACCGGAACCGCTGACGGTGAATGATCACTCCAAAGTTGTTAATTCGGTGAGTTTAGTAAATAGCTAACAGCGCCTGTATAAATATGATAGCAAACCACGTTTTCTTTAATAAAATACAAAACAAATAAGAGATAAGTATATATGATAAATCTATTTGTATGTTTGATATAATTATACTCTTATTATAAAAATTATATATAAATATTGAAGATTTAACTTTTAGTACTATCTACATTCTAATAGATAGCGCTTAAAATATTTCAAAAGATACAAAATAATATTTTCGTTTCATTTACAAACAAAATCATTTGCATATCGATTAATTATCACACTAAAGTCCATACCAATTTTTTTTATATATTTAAAATAAATAAGGGTGTAAACACATTTACTTACCTTACTTACCTTACCTCCAGGCGAGTAGTCGCGAGGGTGCCTTAGCCGCACTAGGAGGTCTCACGGCCGGAGCAGCTCGTCTGGCTGCTCTGCCACTGTGGACCGCGGCGCGAGCAGCTGGCGCTAAAAGACTAGCAAGAAGAATAGACGCGGCCTTCCGCTCAGCAAGAACAGTTAGGGCTTTGATAGCCGGCACGGAGCTGAGACTACTGGTAAACAAATAGTAATATATACTAACTGATGCGAAAAAATTGTTTTGTCATATAAAAAAATAGACGTTGGTGTAAGTTAAAATTTTGGGTTGTATGTAGTTTTTAATGTAACATTACAAAAAATAAAAACAATGTTTTTTTATAAGATTTGCTCACCCTTAATTTTATTATATTAAATAAAATTAAGGGTGAGTAACCCTTGTGACTTAGGGGTATGAAAAAAAAGATGTTGGCCGATTGGCAAACCTACTCAATATGCTCACAAAATTTTATGACAATCGGTCAAGCCGTTTCGGAAGGGAACGAACGTTGTGATACAAGAATTTTATATATAAGATATTAGATGCAATTACATTCGTATATTACACATAGTATACATAAAAATAGAGTATTCGTTGTTAAAGCTTTGTTATTTTGAAGTATTGAGCTTAGTGAAGACAATCGCTAGTTGTTAACTTAGTTACGATTGAGTTTTATTTCTTTAGAAATAAGTCTGGTTTTTGAATGACTACATCCAATTATTCTTCTAAGAAATATGTTTTTCTGCAAAGTTCTTATGGTTTATTGCCTTTCAGAGTGATAGACCCGGCGGTGATGAACCTCCCAATATGGATATAGTAGTAAGTAGTCATTTGTTATAGTATTTTAAATTGTAAGTACAGTCAAAACCGTTTATAACGACATTGAAGGGACCGTATATATCCGCCGTTATATCCGATAGTCGTTATAAGCAATAGTCATATACACAACTACAGTAGTTATACATATTGTCATATGTAGTCACATATCTATCTAGTATAGATATAGGTCATGTAAACGATTCAGAAAAGAAATAAAAATATTTATTACGAAATAATTAGAATACAAAATGTATGTACTTGGCTGCTTACAGTTACGGGTTATAAAAAACTACACTAGTTTTTAAAGTAATCAGTCATTTTAGAATTATTTTTTTTACCACAGTCTCAAATATTTTTAGCATTTTACGTTTCATACTCAAGGTATGAGTATCATCAATATCAAAGTGTTTGTTAAAGGCAATTTTTTTTTGCAAAACTGTTACATCATTAAGAGCCTCGGAAATTATTGTTGGCTGAAACTATTCTTCAAGGTCTTGTTGGTCTTCGTGTTGTTCGTTAGTGTTAGGGTTGTTACTTTTAGCTACTGCAAGAATCTCTTCCTCAGTAGCTAAGGCGCTAACGCGACACTGTTATCTATTCCAATAAATTCCTCTATCTCAATTCTTTGTTCTAAATCAGTAGATTTTTGCAACTGGGTAAGGACAAGGAGCGGTTGGTCGTTAAAGTCGATTAATATCGATAAATTCTCGTCGTTCTAAGCGATATGTCGCTGTATCCGATGTTGTTATAAGCGGTGTGTATACTGAATAGTTTACTAGCAGTTCGGACGGGACCATACAATCTGGCTGTAATAACCGATAGGTCGTTGTAAACGATGTCGTTATAAACGGTTTTGACTGTAGTATCTTTTAATGACAATCCATAGATGAAGTAAAATAATCTATAAATAAATAGATTTATAGTTATTACAAGAATTTTATCATTATATAAGTGATACCCGTTTCTCAGTCTGAGCCAATAGTTACTCCTTATTACATCAGCTACTTGTCAATCAAAGTTCCATCGAATTCGTTTCAGCCGATTCAGAGATTAGCCGGAACAAACAGATGGACAGTCCAAAATTGTAAAAAAATATATTTTGGTGTATGTACCGTACTACGTACTATGTACTATGTACCGTACTACGTACTATGTACTATGTACCGTATATATAATATACAAGTAAAAACCTGTTATTTCTGTGATACTCCAATTCTGTTTAAATGTTGTTTAAGAAAAACAAATAAAACAATATCCACTGCCATAATGAACGAAAACCAACTATATATATTACTTAGTGATTATTTCGTTTCCAGGATGCCATAAGTGAATCCTCAGCGTGCGTGTCCTTCCAATTCGCGCCAGCAGGTTGCGCTGAGCGACCACCCCCCTACTACGATAAACTCAACTCGTGGTTGGGACAAGTGTTGCAACGAGAGGCTGATATGGTGAGCGACAGATATAAAACAAATCATGGTAGAGAGTCGATAGGTATAAGCCATCGATGTGGATAGTGTACCAAGACAAATGAAATATGAAATAATGTTTTTTTCATTACTCTTAACAAACCATCATACTTATAATTATACAACGTGTAACGTAATTAACGCACACCCTCAAACACTCCAATTAGAATATAATAATATAAACGCAATACATACACCAAATATTATTTATATGTGCGTTAGCATTTTTTATTTGTGAAATTAGTTATCCCAATTTCGTGCAAATAATATGGTCAGCTATTCACCAACACTCCGCTTCACATCAAATCCGACCCGAAATGGTACAAAATCAGTTAAAAGTACTTCTAGGCCCATTTTTTTAATATATAAAAATGGCACCCCGATATACATATTAGTTGAGACAAATAATAAAATCATCAAGAAATAAATTGTGTTGCATGCGTTCAGATACTTGGCGGAACAATGTCTGTCGGGTTCGCTAGTATTACATAAAAACAACAGGTTTCTAACAGATTATGGCTATAATGATTTGCTTGAGAAGATTAACTCTAGCAATATCAATCATTAATTATGTTTCCTGGCACTTTCAGAAAAAAATAAATGTACGAAAATGATGAATCTTGAAACTTGTATAACTTCTATATCTTGAATCCTACAACTTTAGCGCCATATTAACTATTGCTCCAAATGGTTAGTTCTAACAATATGTACAATTTTTTTTGTTGGCCGGCACTTTCAAAAAAGGCCCAAAAAGAATGATCTCCTTTGTAAATAAGAATTATTAAACAGCTGATAACGCATGATTTGATTAGACACCACAATACCTACGACAAAGTCGGCGTGTTTAAATGGTGTGAATCAAAATATTAACAATAATTTAAAGATCATAAACAAACTTATAGTTTAATTAGCACTCGCACGGCGTTGTCGTTTTAAAACATTTTCAAAATGTCCACCGCCTTGTTCAATGCACTTTAATGACCGTTTCCGCCATTGTGGTTTTATTTTAGATAATACTGCAGTGTTACTTTTCACTTTTACAAAGGCGGTTATTATCTTATTTTTTAGTTCCTCGAAACTTGTTGTCTCTGTGTTATAAACTAGCGATTTAATTTGCCCCCAAAAAAAAATTGTCGAGCGGCGTCAAATCAGCTGATCTAGGAGGTCAATGGACACGTGCGTAGGTATTTGATGTGTGCCGACTGTCGCTGTTGGTGTTGCGTGCGTAGGATGACTGTAATTTACTTAGTTCTATCTAAATTTGAGAAAAAAAAATGACCTACATAAAAAACTATAAAAATCGATCCAGATACCGATTCTGAACAAACTATGTACTTTCAGGCAGTGCGTTAATTATGTTACACGTTGTGTACAAAACTATAAGTTTAGACAAACGGAACACAAAACATAGCCGTGTTAGTTTATGTCATACCAGTTATGGCCCGCAATTTCATTCGCGTGGACTTCGAAAATGTATTCAAAAAATAATTATTAATAAGACTCTCAAACTAGATATGGTGACCAATACCAGCTCCATACAAAATACAATGGTTATGTCATGATGCTGTGGAAACTACATCTTATTCTTTAATTAATTACTATAAGTATGACGTCTGAGCTATGTTGCTATAAAGGGTTATCAGACAGCGCTCAGTATATTTTACATACACAGATAAACATCCATACATCTCACAAACATCACTCATTATATTAATATGATTTATCATCATTCTAGATAAATATAGAAATATGCGAAACCGAGAGCTACGGCGTAGTTCTCCGCTACTGTCCGCTAGAGGGCGTCTTCATGGAAGAAGACCGTTTGTCAGAGTGGGCGGCCGTGTTAGACGCTCAGCTACACGTACTCACTGCTACCGTCGCGCTAAGAGAACCCTTCCAAAAGACATTACAAGCACACCCCAGTCTAAGACTCGTACATGTGCCGGGATGGGCTGGTAAAGATATAATTATAAGCTATTATCATATTACTGTTTTGTTTTTGGAGTTATTACTGGCGCCATCTGTGTCGTAGATGTACATAGCCTAGTTAGTAGACTGTAGACTAGCGGCAGTATATATTATAAGTGTTTTTTTTTTTTGCATAAATAATAGTGCATTACAAGTGTCTCCATCTCCAATTTTAATATACTTAATCCTTGGATTTATTTTATGGTAACATTTAAGTATCAATTTGTATTTGAAAACACTGAATGTTAAAAATCAAGTCTGAAACTGTACCTCGAACAACAGTTTTATGGTCTAATTAAAGTAAATTTTGCAAAACTATGTATATCTTTAAGTATTTTAATAAGTTATTCATGAGTATTAATCTTTTAGGTCTTGGTGGAGTTCGTTATGTACCACCTGGCTGGGAGGATGCTCCTCTTGAGGAACTGAACTCTTTGAACAGACAGTTGGTTGAAACATTGAGGGCTACCGATGGGGCCTTCTCATGTGGGGACGGAGAAGATGGTATGGCATGTGTCAGGTTCGTGTATTAAAAACTAATCAATGATATTTCTATTGATCGATAAATGCATGATGTAAAAATATTATCAAAAAATTTGGTGGACTTAGATGACATATTATTGTAATTAAAAACAGGAATTATTTATTCATGAACCAAAAGTAGAAATAGTTAATTATGATAAAAGAAATTTGATGCACAAAGGTTAACTTATCTCTTAAAATAGATCTCTACTAGAAACCCTTTTCATAGAGGAAACTAGTAAAAGAAATCTGGCGTAGGTACATTAAAAACAAAAAAGGAAAAAACTAAAACAGATATATTTTTATAAATGTACAAAAAAAATTATAATAATAGAAAATTTCGATGTGTGCAATTTATTAATGTGTGCACTGGTTTTTAATATGGTAATATATATTATACAATATAAAAATCTAAAATACAGTTTCATCTATCATCAAAATACACCAAAAATTTATCATACAAAATAAAGTATCAAAATAGGAATTAGTAATAGTAACATTTAAAAATACATTCATTTTTATCTTTTTTCTTTTTACAGTCACTCTAAATATTCTTTCAATATAATATAAATGAAATATTTCATTTTATAAACTATTTCCTTATCTACTTAGGTTTGGTATGGTGACTGCTGACACAGATGTCGATGAATTGTTAGATCTAGTATTGTCAGCGGGTAAGGATGTTGAGGAGAACTCTAAGGCTCTCACTGATATGACCGAGGTGTTGAAGAAAGGTAAGCTAATAACACTATGATAGTTTAGTTATCATTATTAGTATACAATTTTTTATTTATAGTAATACTTTATATGCGCATTATTTACAGATTTTTACCTTTTAATAATGTTGCCTTTATATTTAATCTAAACACTCTTTATAAAGGTGTAGTAGGTATAAAGTAGTTTAGGTATATCAGAGTCTATAATGACTCGGTACGTACTATAATTAGAATGCTTTTTTGGTAATATACTTTCATTAATAGTGCTTACTAAACGGGTCAATCGTCATAGTTCTCGTATGATTTATAATAATTTTTATTTATCCAATGTCTATGTAAATATTTAAAAAGCGATAAATTGCATATCCAACATTACTTCTGTCGAGAAAACTTTACAATAATATCCAACCCATAGACTATACATATTTCTAGTAGCAAATGTCTATGTTAATATGTAAAAAGCGATAAATACCATATCCAACATTACTTCTTTCGAGAAAACTTTACAATAATCTTCAAGTCATTAATATATACACTTCTAATATGACCGAACATAACATTACAATATTTTAAAGGTATATCAGCGGCTCAAGAAGAACTGGATCGTTCAGCGTGGCAGGAAGGCTTACTTCGTCGTGTGCCAGTAGTAGGTCGGGTTGTGTCCTGGTGGGCTCCGCCACAACCCTGCCCCGGCCGACGGCTACTGTTGACCCACGGCACCTTGCAGGCGACTGACGATATCTATCGGTGACGTCCCTTTATATACCCTTTGATTGATTGATAACTAATTTAATGATAGAAGGTGAATGTTGAAATAACCATAGATCTTGGGAAAATATAATGTACAGTATACAAGATTTACAGAAATTGATTTTATCAAGAGAATTTACACAATATTAAAATTTACTATTTTATTATAAATATTATAGTCCATTAACTGTAGTCATTTCATTATGTAATTATTTTTTTTAAGAAGATTATATCGTATATATTTAAATGAGCAATTCTTGTATATATATATATATATATATATATATATATATATATATATATATATAGGAATCATTTTTAGAAAATGTTGTTTTATTAAAAAAAAACAAAAAGGAGTCGTTTCAAATATGACTCTTCATGACATCTATTGCCGAATAGTAATACTACTTTTTGCTAATTGCTTTAACGACACAACAGCAGATGGCGTTGTTAGTTGCCAGGAAATCAATGAGTTTTTGTTTTGAGGTTAGACTAAGAAATTAATTATTGATTTACGGGTTTAAAAAAACTTAACTTATAAACTTCGAGAAAACTGAAAAAAAAAATAATCGCCCTTGTGATTACTAATTTTAAAATAGTGTCAAATAAATCTATTATAAATTATGAACGGAACCGATAACATTTTCTTCTGGGACACGAAAAAACCAAATAGCGTATATTCACACGTATATTGTTTTGCGTCTACTTAATGTGTTCACTTAAAAATGCCTAAACGAAATATAAAAAAAAAAAAAAAAATCTTAATACCGAGCAAAGCTCGGTAACTAGATATTACTAATATTTACCATACATCTGAGTAATGTGTAGTTTGCATCTCTGTTGTATTAAATTAATTGTTCACACATAAAATTATTTTGTTAACAGATTAGTTCAGAAGAAAGACAAAGAGGAGCCAGCCCGCGCTCACTCACCAACGAGACAGAACACGGCTCCATAACATTACGACAGTGAGACACCTCACGTACACAGAAAAAAGTGCTCTAATGTAATGGAATAAGGTTCATTGATATACACAAAGATTTTTAATATAGAGACAGAAAATTTTAGTCTTATAGGTATAGTGTATTTTAAATTATTATAACGTATAAAGCGCATCAGTGATAGTGTCATTCGTTAGCTGTCTCTTTCACTCTGTATGTGTGAGAAAGAGACGGCATTAGATTAGTTCAATAACTATTAATTTCAATATATAGGTGATATATTTGCGGAAATTCTAAAAATACATATATAATGTAATCGTAATTTATTTAATATGACTGTAAACAGTATTTTAATCTTAGTGTGTAATAACAAAAAAATATTCACAAATTCTATTATGATGTACGAAAACATGTAGATATAGTAATAGTTGAAGTAATAAAAAAATATTATAAACCATTACCTTTATTCTATTAAAGAAAATATGTTATAATTTTCTAGTTTTAGATAATGTAGCTTTTATAAAACAGTGTAATCTATTAGCATATGCTGCAGTTAAGCAACAGTAACACAAGACAGTAGCCTGATGGGTCACCAACTAAGTCAATATCCATAAATCCATATACTTAAATTTAATCACAAAATAGTTGGTTTAAAAGAAAAGTCAATTTAATCTTTATATTTAAAATTATAAGCAATATTTTAGTATATATATCCATTACATTTCATATTTTCTTTCCTTTTGTGATAGCTGATTCATTTTAAAAGTATGACATCATTTTCTGTGCACATAGTCTATTTATTAAATATAAATATAGTACTATTTTAATTTCCCAAATATTTTAATCTAAATTATTAATATTAAGGTATTCAACAAGTCTCTATTTTTACTTCAATTACATAAATTTATTTCAATTGTACTATCTGTCACAATAATTTTCTGATTAAAGGTACAATTTCAGATAAATAGTAATCTATTTATCTGAAACTGTTCCTTTATATTTTATCCAATAACATAAATAATAATAAATTGCTATTTTATTTTTTTGTGTTTTATCAATTTGAAACATTATGTAATTTTAATTTAATAACATTTTGATATGTAAACAATGTGTTTAATGATAAAATGCATTATTGCTATGTTCTGTAGTCAACCCAAATATTTATCTGGTTCAAACCAGTTTATTTTATATACATGAAAAAATACATGCATTTATTACTACTTTATGTAACAGTGAAAAATTTTTAATAGTAAAATACCATTAAAAATCAAAGCAGCTGAAAAAATAATATGATTTTAATTCAAACAATTGATGCTATGCTATTATTTTATATTATGCAGTCTGAATTACCCGTTCATTTGTTGTGATTTATGAGTTATTGAATAACAAATAAAGTTATCCAATGTTAAGTGATGTTTTTAATCCTGTTTTACCTCAACCTTTACAATATGACATCAATTATGCTCTAATAAGAATCTCATCGCCCTGTGGAAGATTCTCTCTCGTACTGAATGTAATATTATACAAACATCAATCATTTAGGAGCTATCAATAAGTACGCATGCGTACGATTTCACCTTTATGTTGTGGTACAAGTAATAAGATTTAGCGGTAAGCGAATGAAATGTAAAATCACAGTATTAAACTTCAAAAAAAACACCGAAGATACTTGAAACGTAATTAATAATTCTCAAAGTTATTAAAAAAATATTACACATTAGGCCATTCAAAATAAATAAGATATTCTCGTATTCATTTTATAAAGCAAAAATTTTGATACATCGATATTTGTAGCTTTTTTATGCAAAAAATACTGAAAACAACAATACTAGCCATTTATTAATAACATGTTGAAAAACTGAAAATTTTTAATACAAGTAGTTTTAAAGCAAATTGGCAACATGTTGAATCTCATCGCTTGTACATAACGAATACAAAACCCAACAGCTATGTATAGACAACTTACCGGCTGACGCCTTTTACAGGCGCCGTGAAATAATTGTTAAATGGTCATTATTGTGTTTTTAAAACGTTGTTTGTAATAAATCAGTGTGAATGAATTAATAAGTAACTAAATTATGGATACATATATTTTACATCCACATGTTACGATTGACAGAATGCAACACGTGTTTTGAAATTATTCTATTTGTGCGCTTCGTTCAGTGATTTTTTAATTTATAACGAAATTCATTAATTCAGGATAAGCCAAAAGTTTATAATGTCAAATAATATAATCATGTCTCCAAGCAGTAGACTTTTTAAAAGGAATAGAAAAAGACTAATAATGAGTATAGTTTCAACATTGTTTGTTATGACGGTGATACATATGAATTTTGGTCAAGAGTTTTCATGGGGTCCGACAGCTAATGTATCGTGCCATTACGTACACAGCAACTCTACTTTCCCGCTATTACAATCAACTTTACCACAAAGATCCATATTCTTCCACCAAACTTCTTGTCCAGCGAACCTGACCTCCAGGCAGGTCTGTTCCATTGAATCGGCTGCTAGAACTCATCCGGCTTGGCAAATTAACGTTATATTCTCAGGTCCCGTACACTTAGAGACAGTAAATGGCGTAGAATTATTACGAAGATTCAGTAATATTAAATTCTGGATGATTAATATAAAGGAGTTCTCCAAGAATACGCCGTTGGAAGGACTGGTCAACAGTGGTATATTAAGTAAATGCCAATGGGGCATGGAGCGTACGAGAGATGTATTGAAATATTTATCATTATACAAGTTTGGAGGTATATTCTTAGATTTGGATATTGTTATTGCCCGTTCCTTAGGGTCTTTGGCCAGGAATTGGGCGGCCAGGGAAAATGCAAATAAAGTAGGAGATGGTATATTAGCTATTTCCAAGAATAGTATAGGACATAATATGACAAACGTGGCGATCAGGTGACGATAAGATATAACGAAAAAAATTTAAATATATTAACTGTTATTAACAAAACAATTAATTTCAAGGTATATTGTGTCAATTTACAAGAATAATCATTGGTGTAAGGAAAGTCAGGATGTTGTGATGGGGGTGCTTCAAAAATTATGTTCTACTAATGATGCGAACTATATGTCTTCAGCAACTTGTAACGGTCAAGCATTAGATATTTTCCTCAAAAAAAAAAATCAATTGAGATACATAAAATGCGGGACATTTAATAATATGTAAATAATTTTAGGTTTCGAAGTTTATGGCTCGCAATTCTTCTATCCAATTGGAAAGCAATCGGCCCGCGAATATTTCGTTCCGGGAGAAGTACAAGACCACAGCGCCTATATTTATCATCTATGGGGAGATGTTACTAATGGATACAAAATTTCTAAGTCTTCTCCATACTCTAAACTTGCTAGAAGGTTCTGTCCTAATGCTTATGGTTTATATTTTGAGGATTAATTATTTTTTAATATTAAAGGAATGTTTAATACATAAACTTTTTTACTGTATTTAGACCAATAATTTTACATATTTTTTTTATTAAACTTGATATACCTAATTATCTTATGAACTCGAAAAGCAATAAAACGTACTCCAATTGTTTATTAAATTCTTAAAAAAGTAACTAAATATACAATTGACGACTGTACATATATTACGCATGTATTCATAATAATAGAAATAACTACATATATGCAGAAAAATTTCTAAAAGGATTTTAGAATTAAAAATTGATAAATTGAGAAGAAATTAATTCCACAACCTAACAATGAAAAGAAATCCTAATACTATTACTAATAGATATAATTGAATAAGATTTTCCGAACGATAAAAATTGTAAGGTACACTATGTATCGTTTTTTAATTTTATATTTGTTTATAAAATTTTACAATTTATATGAACCTACCTATAGTTTCATTTCAGTGAAAATTTGAGAATATTTTAAATTATGCGTTTTACGGAGGTATAGATATGTTTTTCCATATCGAATGATATGTCACATAATCTATATTGATGCCTTGCCATATAAAATACCTGTCAGTAATCTGAAATTCATTAGTATAAGAAATTGAATCAGTCATTTCTTGCAAAACTTCACTCATCACTGGATATGGAATTTGGTGACTGGACGCAGTTTTAATCAATGTTAAGAATTTATCATTCTAGTAAATGCAAACGATTGAATATGTTCTCCTACTTGGGATTAAGTGTTAGAGTCGATTTCAGCAAAGACCTAGTGATTTAACGTGCCGTTGTCATGTGAAGAAAATGTACTATATCATTGTGGCACACTAAAAAACGCGTCTTCCTTTATAAACCTTGCATTCACCAAGTTATTTCTGTGAATGTATGTAAATATTGGTTAGCTGTAGAGGATGGATGTCTTTTATAACTTGTGATATACCAAAAAACTACTGCTAATGTTACTTTCTGATTATATAAAAAACATACTGAGTCCAAAATAATTGCGTTTCAAGTACTTACAAGCCAAAGTTGTATTTAAAGTTATTACTTGAGGGGTGATTAGATTATAAGTTTTTTTTTTGGAAATATATAAATTTGATACTATGTAAGTAGAGTAATATTAAACATTATTCAACCATAAGTGAATTAATTAAACAAACTAGATATCACAAAATGATTGGTGATACACAACTATAATTAATTATTTCAATTCAGAAAAGAAATTGTTTATTATTTAGTGGTAATACACACACTGAAAAATTATTATATTTCTGTCAAAATTATGCTATCATGGCTAATTTTTTCTTGATACTTTAATATATGTATATCTAATTAAGTTCAAATAAAAATATAATTGTGCATCTCGATTGTTTTTTCCGTGTTCATACTTTCATGCAATTCTTTTGAAGAGATTCCATTATGTGTACATAATATTGTATATTCAACAGTATATAAACTATTCAATACATATTTCATTCATTGTATTTGGTTAATGAAGTCAGGAAATTATGATTTAATTATTTAATGGATATTTTGGTCAACATGAGCGGGATTTAAACCTGCAATCTCAGGAGCACTGTGTTCCAACAGCTTTAACACAATATCCTATATGTTAAATGTATAATTCCTGTTGATATCAGTGAATTTTCGCTTAAAAACATAATTATGCACAATTTATAAGGCATTAAACACAATTTTTGTGACTGTACAAAAAAACATTTGAATTACAAAGTAAATTTGAATATATTATAAAAATGCATACATGCAATACAATATAAATCACTAGAAAAATTGGTAATAAATAAATGTGCTGGTAATTTTTGTTTACATTTAAACCTATGTAGCAAGTGTAATAGTCTAATATAAAATTTTGCAGGATTATGCCGATGTTTAAAGTTGATTGTAAAGATTTCATAGATACTTATTGCTCTCCTCATACTTTGGAATATTAACTGGAAAATAATCATTTTGCTTTAATGTTTTAATCTAAATGAAAAGTCTAACATTATTAACATATTTTATCAAATGGTTATTGAACTGTATTCTAAGCACTAGTTACACTATTAAAAATTAAAGATATGAAATTCAATTGGGATTAATACATTTAATTTCTATTCACTTTTAAGTATATAAAGTAATGAAAACACTACAATATAAAAACTTCATTAGTGATTGTCATAAGTTCAATTATCATGAAATAACCTATAAATTGTTTAAAAACTTTCATGTCAAGGAACCTTAAATAAGAACACAAGATTGTTTTTGGGTTTTTATTTACTTACAATTATGATAGTGTCACATCACTTCTTAGACGCAGCTCCGACCTTGGATTTCTTGGTACCACGCACCTTCTTCATCCTGTTCTTACGCTCCTTACGCTGTTTGCGTGTCGGCCTCTTCTTCTCATACAATCCGTGGCGAGCAAGTCTGTGTTTGGGCTCAAACTTCTTAGCCAGATCCAGAGTATCGTATATTAAGGCGAAACCAGTGGATTTTCCGCCACCGAAGTTCGTTTTGAAACCAAATACGAAGACAACGTCTGGCGTCACCTTGTACATCTTAGCGAGCTTCTCACGGATCTCAGTTTTACTAACAGTGGGTTTCCCTGGATGAAGGACATCGCAGACCATCTGCTTGCGCGCCAACAATCTGCAATATCACAAAGAAATGTTTCACTTACACATAACCTGTCACACGGTGGTGAGGTGTTAGGTCCGTATCACGACACATTTTCATGGACATTATAAATATTGCACTTTTACCTGTTGGTCATAAATTTGCGAGTGCGAATCGTTGCTGTTCCTTCACTCATTTTGGATTATTTTAGAGCTTTCGGCGTCAATAACGCACGTGTCTCAAACAACTTCACACGAAAAAGAACGTGCCGGTGTTGTTATCTAAAAATTTAAATGTGCCGTGAAAAAATTATTACGAATTAGATAATAAAAAATTTTGTTCATGCTCATTTGGCTTAATAAAATTTGATCTTGAAATATTATTAATTATTTAAAATATTATGTATAAATAATTTATTATATATATTTTTTTCAACTGGCAACAAAAGTCTTATACGTTTCGTTTCATCACATGAAGTATTACATTGTCGTTTTATTATTATTTTAGATTGGAAAAATAAATAAATATTTTAATTATATAAAATGTATTTAACATGAATTTTAAATATATATTAAAATAATATTAATGGATTTTTAAGTTTGTAATATGTAGACTATTTCTAAGAGCCGACAGTAAGTTAGAGTTGAGTAGATTGTGTTATAACATTAATAAATGTACACCTGATTATAACTTATTGTAATAGATTATGGATTATAATTTTTCCTTTAATTTAAAAAATCAATAGAAATGATTTAGTATGTTTTAAGCTTAAAAATTTGTTAACAATTCTTCTGTATTTGGATACTCGATTCATTCATAGGGTAATATGTAAACAAAATATATTTGTATCCCAACTTTTATTTACATTATACCACCTCCAGTACTAAAATAAAGATAAAGACTAATAAAGATGTTAACGACAAAGAATTGAACTTAAATGAAAGACAGCAAGAAATAGAAGTAGTTATTTTGAATATAAAATATTTTTTCTTTCCTTTTTCATTAATCCTTCTTTAAAGAAATGTCTTGTTAGAAATTATAATGATAAGTCATTTAGCGCAATTAAAAATTTATAAATTTAGTTACGGCTTATGTCGTCACCTTCAAAACTCATAGAATAAAGATTGATATATTAAAGTATACCACGGTAAAAACACATGTAGTAAGTTGATAAAATCCCATTCTATTAGTCTAGATAATTAGTACACAAAAGTATTAAATTACTTAACAGTATTAAAAAGTTATTTTCTCAAGGGATTTCTAAACAAATTATGGTAAATGATATTTATTAAAATCAAATGGACTTTCAAGTAACTATAATAAATATTAATATGCTATACATAGTTTAAAATAAGATTGGTAGCATCATTGAAATCATTTATTTCTATTAAAATTTAACGTGTCACTTTTAAAATGAACATCGATAGCACGCTGCAACTTAAATATGTAATTGCTTTTTTTATTGACAAGGCGTTGCGTTCAGATTTGAATATTTTTAATTAACCTTATTTCAGTATAAAAATAACTTTGTAAAACATGTAAACACATTACATTAAATCCTTTATTCCGTACGTCATGTTGACACGCCCCCACCTATCAAACGTCTTTTAAAAACAACTATTTTACTTAAGTAATGTGGGTTGAGGATTCGCCATGCTCGACCCCCTACCCCCCATATCGACCGTGGTTGGCGCCTGCATTATACCGTAAACGGTGAATAGAGAAGGCTGTATTTCATTTTCAGCTGAAAACGTGATTCAGACAGATTATTACTTCGAAGTATCGGGTAAGTTAAATTACATTATATTTGAGTAGAGTATATTTATTGATCGGCGAATATATCTTTCAATATGATTTAAATATCTTTTATAAGTATTAATGTTTGATTATAATCATAATTGTCAATACACCGGGATTTTAATTGAGCAGTTTCAAATCAGTACATTTTCTTTTTGAGTATTTTTTTGTGTAAACATGTTTTTGTTATACATTTTACTTCAGCCTATCAGCTGATAGTTGACATTACGTCAAATAACCCTTTGAATTACATTGAAGTGATGTATATTTTTGTCGTTGTTATATTCTATTGAATATTTCGATAGTTTCTCAAACAATAAAAATATAGAGCGCCTATGAATTTATATTTTAATTTGTTCCAGTCTTAGTATTATTTTATTTCATAGAGACATTAACTGCTTAGGTAAAATATGTAAAACTTTGTTTTTCTGATGCAAAGGATTGCATCATGCATATAATAATTTACACGGATGTGTCTTAGTGTCTTAGTAGACCGTTGTTTTTTTATTTAATAACAGCAACTACCGCTATAACAAGATGACTAAACTAAATGGTTGTTAAATAACTAAATTATATTTAATCTGTGACAATCTTAAAATGCATAATATTTTATTGCACTGTGACAAATGATTGCGTTATTTTCACATAAAAATACAATATGTCTGTTTTCCATATTTATATATATTTTCTAAGCTCGTTAGTAAAACTCCTTGAACATTTCCCTTGCGTGTATTGCTTGTTCTTCGTTTTATTGACGTAAATCAACTAAGACAGTGTCTGGTTATTATGGTAAGGTCAAGGTTTTTACGGGGGAGGCTTTTCCGAGGTTGTTTGGTCTAAATAACTCCAATATAAATAAATGGAAACCTATGTTATAAATGCTTCAATTGGTATTTCTTTTAAAACAATGTTTATAACTTGTCAATATTAAAAAATAAAGTGGTTTAGCTTTTGCTTTCTGACACTGATAAAACAAATTCGATGTACTATAGAAAATTTACAAATCCGTGACGGCTTAAATACTTTAGTTTCGCAAAATACTTATATTATTTTCTATAAATTATGTTAATATTATAATTTATAAAGTAGATATTTCTTTATTTCATAATACGTAAATATATTTCTCAATAATAACATGGTCAACAATTTCATGAAATAATTGCCATCTTTTTGTACATGTAATATTTGGATTATTTGAGTATTTTAAATTGAATTTTCATTTTATTAAAGGATTTTATAGGGTAAAATAAACCTTCTAATAGCATGTTCAGTTCATTGTGGAAGGCTATAAGTTATAAGCGCAAAAAGGGAAGTGCGTTTGGGGCGTCTTATCGCAGAATAACTAGCGAGCTTCATATAAATTGGAGTGTGAATCATGACAGTGATGGATTTGACTTTACGAAACCTCCCCAAGTCGTATCCTATGAACTATACTATCCTAACAATATAATCTGCGTATTTAGTTCGATTGACTTTGTTTAATATGCTGCGGTTTGATAATTGTATACCTACCTATACATATATTTTTTTATTATTACGTAAGTGATGTTAGACAAGGACAAATTTAGTTAAATGAAACTAATATTTTTCGGTTATACTTCGCGACTTTATTGTTGATAACAACTACATAGACCCTACTTTTCAGCTTTTCTACTTGAATACCCTTGAACACGGTTGCTGAAAAGTAGCCTCGCGAAAATCTTAGATCTCATTAAGGATTTTTTAAATATAGTTATCGATCTTTATTTCTATTTTCAGATATCGCTGCTGTACTAAACTAAGTTCTTCATAGTATTTAACTGTTATCTAAATCGTGGCGCAATCTTGCGTCGCTACACTTCACAGGGTGTATGAGTGACTTTTGGACATATTGTTTTTTCAATCCTCTCTTAATGGTCCAAGACCAAAATAAACCGGTTACTTTAAAACTTAACAGCGTGGCTAGACAATCCAGTCGTTACTCGGCAAGGGACCCAAGATTAAGATATTAAATTATACGAATACTACGACAGTATTAAGTAAATTAAAGGAGTAGTATAATATTATAATGCAATCTGATGAGAGTCCAAGCGTGGTTTTAAGAAATAAGGGTTCTTGCGACAAAACGAAAGTGCAAGATGCTGTACGAGAATCTATCTTAACTGACTCTACTTCAGGTATAGTCAAAGGGGATTACGACACCACTAGCATTAGTTCTTCAACACCCTTCTCTAGTCCGGAATTAGACATAAGCGCCAAAGAACTCTTATCACCCAAAGTTATTAAAAACAGAAAAAGTGTTCAGTATGAAGAGGATTTTGATGGAATTAATAGTGATATAGAAAAGAAAAGTGGTAAAAATCTTGTGGATAAAACCGAAATAGATGACGAAACAGCGAGAGTTGAAAATGAAAAACTTATTGGCACAAATGAAACAAAAGTATCCATACCAGATGGTGGGTGGGGTTGGGTAGTTGTTCTTTCATCTTTCGTAATATCCATGATAGCTGATGGGATTAGTTTCTCCTTTGGCCTGTTGTATATTGAGTTTTTAGATGAATTTAAAGCTAGTAAATCAACAACAGCTTGGATTGGCAGTCTGTTTATAGCTGTGCCGCTATTAGCTGGACCGGTGATGAGCGCTCTTGTAGACAGATATGGATGTAGAAGTATGACCATTTTAGGAGGAATCATTTCATCTTTGGGTTTCGTACTGGCATCGGTGTCAACTACGCTGGAGACTATGATGCTCACTTTTGGAGTTATCGCGGGCTTGGGTTTAGGACTGGTGTATGTAACAGCAGTTGTTTCAATAGCGTATTGGTTTGAAAAGAAAAGGAATCTGGCTGTTGGTCTTGGGGCTTGTGGAACCGGTGTAGGTACATTCGTTTATGCACCGATGACGCAATATTTTATCGATGAATACGGTTGGAGAGGTACTATTCTTCTTTTGTCTGGTACGCTGTTAAATTTGTGTGTCTGCGGTTGTGTCATGAGAGATCCGGAGTGGTGGATATTGGAGCAAAAACGGCAAAAGGAAGAAGAGAAGTCTTCTAGAGATGATGCCAAATCTAAATATTCCAGCTCATATTCCGTTGCTAATGGTAACAATCCAAATGATTTTGAAATTCAAACGAAAGGAAAAAGTATGAAAAGAATGATTAACAGAGGTGTATCACCTGAAAAGGTTATTAAAGATGAAGTGGCCAGCATACGCCGACATGAAAATGTGATTTCCTCTCAACCAAGTGACCGAAAATTTAGCTCATTACTGAATTTACCAACTTACTTAACAAACAACGATAAGGTATGTATAAAATATAGTTTTTAATTAATTCTCATTAAATATTATTAGTGACAATCGCATTTTTTTTTGCAGAAATCTTCCACATTTGTAGAGTCATTATTCCATAAATGGAATAATAAAACGGCGGTAAAATTTCCAACTAAAGTCGAATCTTTAGAAGAGAATGAAGAAAATAATTTAAAAAGCAACAGTCCTAAAGAAATACTCAATATGGGAAAAATGCAGAGAACTTGCTCAGAACAGATAAATAGAAACAATGAGGAAATAGAGAATTATAAGAGAAAACATCCAAAATTAGGGCAGATCAGGAAGTCTTTATCAGAAACAAAAGAAAACAGGCCATTACTGAAACAAGACAGCAAGGAGAGTAAACGAGAGTGGCTGAAGAAACAACTGTCAGTGAATCATCACTATTTGAGAGACCTCAAAATGCCAATAAATTCATTGAGCCACAGGAACGCAATGTTGAATATAAAGAAATATAAATTGAAGGCATCGTCTTGTCCGGATATATTTAAGAATTCCATGATAACAGTGAATGAACAAGAAGAGGTAAAAAACATATTAGAAGATATATTATATATAGTATAACTTTGATAAACTTCTTTAATAAGGACTTAATTTTTTTATGTTTTTTGTTTTCAGAAATGGTACGACGATTGTGTAAGTTGCCTTGGAGATATGTTCAACTTGTCACTCTTCAAGAAGATTACGTTCGACCTTCTCTGTTTCGGGACCATAATTATTTTCGTCTGGTTCATAGTCCCATACTTCTACCTCGCTGAACACATGATACAGAATGGCTATTCCGAAGACGATGGAGCTTTTATGTTGAGCTTAATTGGCGTCACTAACACTATCGGCATGGTATGAATATAAAAAAAGTACAAATAATAATAATTATTTATTTAAATTAAACTAATATTTTTTGGATATACTAAGCGGTTTATTTATGTGCAAATACAACATACTCTCGACGTTTCGGTTACTTTTCTGCAACCGTTATCACGGGCAGATGCAAAAACAAATAATATTACTGATTTTCAAATTAGATGTATTTATGCACGAAAAATATAATACCGAGGTCACGTGCCATTATTTCGCGATGTTTGTGCCAAATTCTTGTTGTTTTCATCTAATATTAGGATGGTTTCGTATTAATTTTCAGTTAGGTTTAATTTTAAATCTGTCAAACTCGATAATGGCATTCAGTTTAACATTGAAATGCGTACATATTGAAGGTCATACATACATAGTGCATTATAAATATTTATGTTGCCAATTGTCTTTACTATGTGAGTTTTTTGTACTGGATTTATGTCTAGTTCGAGGTTGGCATAAACATAAAATCTTATTACAACAGTTAATTATACAAAAAATAGAAGGTGTGTTTTCTCTTATTGTATGCTATCAATTTTGAACCTTAACACCTTATAATGAGTCTTATAATTTAACTCGTCTTTTCCAGGTCACACTCGGCTGGATAGGCGACTTCCCCAATGTCTCAATAGGTAATATTTACGCCGTTTGCCTTATTCTCTGTGGCGCGGCAGTCGCAGCTATACCCTTAGCTCCTAGCTATTGGATTCTCGCCTCTATATGTTCATCATTTGGGTTGCTTTTCGCAGCATCGTTTACTTTTACCCCTAGTCTTTTGGTGAAATTGGTCTCTTTGGATGATTTCACGTCTGCTTATGGATTGGTTCTGCTAGCTCAAGGAATTGGACACCTGATTGGACCGCCTTTGTCAGGTTGGATAATGGTTTCAAATTATGTTTTTTTTCTTTAATTATATATTTGTATATACAATTTCTAATCTTTTAAGACGAAAATTGTAAATTTATAAGTATTAACTATTTAGTCTATTTACAATGTTAAATTTGTCAGTAATTTTCTTTTTAATACTTGTATTATTTCTCGTCGAAGGTAAAGTATACCAAAATGAAAACATCTCACGAGAAAATTTTCATACAAATATACATATACAGGGTGACTGGTGAATTACTATCAATATTTAAGGAGAATACTCGGTACATGATTCTCATTCGAATTATGTAAAAAAAATAGGCACTTAATTTTTGACCAAATTTCCGTATAAATAAATAAAGTGTGTACACGTTCCAAGTGTTCAAGTGTGAACGCGTGCGGCGGCGTGCTGATACAACAACACGCCGCCGCGCGCGTATGTGTGTGTGTACCTAATACCTAATCTGTAGGGTGTTCATACGATGCGTAATTTATTACATAACTTTTGGTTAACTTTACTTAGAAGTTTATTAATATTTATGTTATATTAATTTTTATTTTGTCATATATGATCATCAAATATCACGTCCTCAAATATCGATAGTAATTCACCAGTCACCCTGTATTTACAAATTACAATATAGAGTTCGTATTTGTTTTTCTTACAACAAATAAATTATTACTCATAATAAATAATTCTTTAATAATATCCAGGTCTAATATATGACGTGACGTTGTCCTGGGAGCTGTCTTTCTATCTCGCGGGCGGCTGGATCATCGTGGCCGGAGTATTGATATCCTTCATACAACCCATACGTGTGTACCAGATGAAGACCAACGCAGAATGTGACAGCATTGCCTAGAATATTAAAACTGTTTATACTGAGATTTTATAATTCGATATTTGAAATTTGTAATAACTTTTTCTTACACATAGAATTAATTTTGTTTACGGCCAGTATTTTAAAATATGCATTTGTAACTCTTTTATGAATTTTTTTTTTAAAGACGAACATAATTTTGTTTATGACCAGTATTTTCAATGTACGTATATTTGTAAACTCATTTATATATTTCTTTTTTTTCTGACAGATGAAAGTAATTTTGTTTACGGCCAGTATGTATTTTAAATTTATATGCATTTGTAACGCTATTTCTAATGTTTTATTGTTGACGTTGTACCAATATAATCAAAAATTCGGTATCTGCTTTATTATAAAAAAAATCTTACCTATTTAAATACAATCTACTATAATATATAAGCAACTTGAGCAATAAAATGTCTTTGTATAGTATTAAATTAAATCCGTATGTTTAATAACTGATTAAAAGAGACTGTTAAATAAACCCAAATATTTAAATTATACTAACGTACTGATGATTCAATGTGTTATATTTTTCTATCTCACCACATCACGTAATGTTTAGTTAGTAAAATGTTTATGTTAATTTGATCCTTTGTTTTTGATATACGGTTTATTAATAAGGGTTTCGACAAAGAATTAGCCGTACTACCTTAAGATAGTATGGTCACACTACATATGGAGCGAATCCATTTTGTTCTCATAAATTAGTTATTGAAATGAAACTAAGTTTTTCAGATACTACGCATTTTTTTACTAATTTATATCTTCATAAAAAAAGTGTCTCTTTCATGGGTTACATATAAAATAACAAAAATCGTGTCATATAAATGTATACTCGAAAATTTTAAATATAATTATTAGTTATTATCTACTTACTAACTACTTTGATGAAAAATTTTTATAAACTCTGAATGTAGTGTGACCATGAATTGTTTTAGTAAAAATACAACTCTACTAAAACCTTTGTCTAGTGTTCATTCGGTCAATCTCATACTTCTGGTACAAAATTGTATACACTATATAATTGTGATAAAGATATGGATTCTTAAGCAGTTACTATAGACGTTTATAAGTAGTATAGCCATGTTATAATTACTTGTATAGACCAACATTACATACATATAAAGTTATGAGTTTAGTTTCATTTATTAATTTTCCAACCTTTCCGCAGAATACCTACTGCCTACCTATTCTATTTAGACTTCTCCATTATATGACAAAAGGAATTTATAAATCCATTTTAATATATTGTATTATATGATTTATTTTATCTCGACTCACGAGTGTAGTTTTTGCAATGAATACGGATTAATTTTATAATAATTAAATAACTATTTTACAGGAAATTTTATAAATGATGCAAAAAGGTGTACTTCATTTGAAGTAGAAAAGGTTTAGTTATTATTGTATCTTATTATTAATATAAATTATATAAGTATATTTTTTATTATTATCAAGAAAATTCTGGTTAGTCGAATATCTGACTATTTATTGATTTCATCGGCTAGAATCTGTTCACGATATCCTAATTGATTAAGTTACTGTATCTCGTATTATGGAGGAATCCTTCTAATATATAATTTATTAATCTTTATTTAATATTAATTAAAGAAAAAGCTTATCACTGCTTTATTGTGGAAAACATAATTATACGAGTTAAATATTATTGAAAAAAACTGGCCCCATAAAGCTGCCGATTCCATTATCACTAATTTATTAAAAAGTATTTAAAAAAATCTTTTTGGGAAAGTTTGCTAGTAGGTAAAAAGTGCTTAGAACATTAAACTAAATTAAAAAGTACGGAAATTTAATGGAATGTAAGAAAATATCAAGAGTTTCGTCATTACAAATGGCTCCTTAACGGGAAAGATGTGATCTTTCATCACGACGACGATCGACGACACATATTTGGCAGCTTTACATAAAATGTAAAGAATTTCATATTGTTTTGGATCTGGTATACATAAAGAAAGAGATTTTAAACTATTTTATGTTTTGAAATTTATTTGGATAGTTTTTAATCTTCATAGAGGAAGGACTATTTTGGTAATTTGTTGTATTTTTAAACCAAATATGTCAAGATTTATTCAGCACTATACAGTAACAAGTTAATAAAAAAGTTAACATGAATACGCAGGTATATAATGTTATAAAACTTCCAATTGTATATAAAAAAACAAGGACTTTTGCTCTACAGTCTACCTTAACCATTTCAACTGTGCGTTCCTCAAAAAAGAAAATTGTTTTTTGAGCGTATCATATTATATTAACAAAATAATAATTAATAATAGATCTTCGTTCATTCATTTTGCAGGAAATAATTTTCCAATATATACTTTCTTGGTCATCTTGTAAAATGACGTTGAAGCCTTATATATGTACGTTATTTGTAAAAATTCTATAGATTGGTATCCGCATACATTTTCCGTTAATGTGCAGTAAGTATTAACATAGAAAACGGCTTTTTAACGCTTTGTCTCAATTTTGAAATTAACTAGAAATTTGTTACTCTTGTATAAATCATTGTGATTACCTGGACACCGTGTTCATTACTGGAGTTCCTTAAAGTATAGTCAATTTCAAGGCGGTAGAGCCTAGCTGTGATCAAGTGACTACAGCTCGAACATGGGCTGGCTCGACTGGGGAAGTACCACCCTCTCACAGAAGATCGGCGCGAAGTAGCCTTTAGTGGCTGCGTTGCGTCTGATGAGTGAGAGAGACGGTTGCCCTTTTCCTTTTCAAAACCATTTCCTCTCCTTCTTCCTCATTAAAGAGTGGCAATTCGTTCAAAAAACTATCTTGTAGATGTCCATGGGCGATATAATAGTGGCCCTACCTTCATCAGTTAGGCCATCTTCTCGTTTGCCACCTTCATCATAAAAAACTAACTGGATCAAACTGGTTCAATGCTTAGTTCTTTCAATGATTTTCAAAGATTTTATACTTTAGATCTTTAGTATGGAGAAATTTGTTCAGCTTTTAATGAATGGCTACAATAAACGAACCGTTTAATAATAATTTAGCTCTATAGATAACAGATGGTCGGAATAATTGCTATGACGTAATACTCATGCGACTGCACGTTCATTTTATTTCTTATTACGGAGAGCATTTAATAGATATATTCACTGAAATAACAAAAACAGTATACAAACGTGTAGTTTTCTTGTAATGAGTAGTTCTAACGAGAAATTATCATCATTTTATTTTTATAGCTCGTGTTGTGTCACCTAGATTTATAATGAGTGTCATTACTTCTCAGCCTTGTGTATGTAATTTTAAATATTTTTTCTGTATAGAAGTAAAATAATATTCAATAGTTAATATTCATCTATATACTACATGTTTGTTTTTAAACAACTAAAATTACATTGTAATAGTGAGAGTAATTAAATCATTGTCTTAATTTATATTTGTTAATGATAATTTGATTTTAATAAGAATATAATCATTTGTTTAATTGTCTAATAATTTAACGGCATCATTGAGATATTAAAACAAAATAGCTTTCAGTCACAAAAATCGCCACCACTCATTGTCATCGTTTCAAAATTTACGTACGTAATTTCATTTCGTCAAGTTCCAATAAAATACAGTTGACTTAAAATAAAATTATATAAAAAATACGAACGAACCCCAAATGTAAAATTCCACTCAAGGCTTTAATTAAACGTATTTGTTTGGTGTAAATAACATTATCTTGTGTGATAAAGATTAAAGACATTCGTCAAGGCGTTCGCTTCTCAGACGGACATATCGTCGGTTGAAGGAAAGTGTGCAAAAATGCGGTTTTATACCGAGAGGCGCGACGTACTTCGTCTCGCCTCGTAAAACAGACTCAAACAGTGTCCAGTGGATGTAACACGTGCCTTTAAACAGCTGATATTTATTTAGGTACGTACATTCATACTTTTACGATCATCCCATAAAAATATATGTTTCCTTTAAAAAATATATTAAATGTCAAGGAAAAGAAGTATAAGTATAAGATCGGTGACATAATTTTAATAGTTTTCAATTGTTTTTTTTTGTTTCTAGAATTTTTTTTCTCGTTTTTGAATCTTCTGTGATCTCTCATACATTTTTTTAAGGTCGTGGTACCAACAAAGATAATGTTATGTTCGTATGCATGATATATACAAGTTCATAAATATATGTATGTTAAAAACTTAAGTGACTAAACAATAATAAAAAATCCTGTCAAATGATTTCCGACTCTATTATTAATATATATATAAAGTTATTTTTTGTTCGACTGTGATTTTTATCTCTACTGTTTGCAGTACAAATGCATAAGTAATCTATTCTATGTATGTATATCTAATATAGTAGTATAAAACTTATTTGTTTATAACTTAATCTGTATGTTAATATATAATAACAGTCAATTGGTACCGGCCATTACTAATAAATGCTTTTGGAAATACACTATCGCAAATAAGTCTCGTTGAAATGGCGTTCCTATGACCTTCAGAAAGATAAGAAACAGAATGAAATAATGAATAAAACAATTCCACACTAAAAGAACCCGGACGAAGTGTATGGTTATTGTAATTTTAGCTCTTGTCTGGTGCTTGTCAAATTACAGGCCATTACATTAGAACGCGACATTGCCTTTATTTCTGAGTAGGAGTCAAATGTCTGATGCTAAAAGAATGACAGAAAAAGATCGTATTTACTTTCTATAGAACTGTGATTTTATACGTCATAGGACACTTATTCCAATGACGTTTTGTTCTTGTGTCGTGTTTGATAAAATCTTGCCTGAATAACAATTTTGCATAGAATATTTTAATAAATAATGCTGAAAATTTCTCGAAACTTCGAAACCTTTAGAACCAATTATTGAATTATTGTGATTTCGTCAACAATTATTGGATTATTTTAAATTAATATTCATTCGTTATTTTAAAAATTAATAAAAGTCATATGTATTAAATTCTCTGCTAGTACCATAATTGTTTGTAAAATAGTTTACATTTTTATTGCGATTTTAT